GGAAGAGCGACTCGCACGCGTCCTCCTCGCTGCGGCCGATTCCGAGGAGGCCGTGCTCGTCTTCGTCGTCGTCCATCGCGCACTCATCGAGCCCGTCGTCCCCTTCCTCCTCCTCGTCCTCCTCCTCGTCCTCGTCGTCCTCGAACTCGTCTTCCTCAGCGTCCTCGTAGTCGCTGTCGCTCTCGATGCCGGCGCAGTTGCTGTACCTGTGGTTCAAGGGGAAGGCCTCGGACTTGGCGCACTCCGGCGCCAGCATCCACCCCTTCTCGCTGCTATCCCCACCATCCTCCGGATCGGCTCCCTCGCCGTCGTCCTCCGGGATCGGGGCCGCCTCGAAGGTGGTGACGTTGGGATCGAACGTCACCTTCTTCTTCACGACGGCCAGGCACATGTCGTCCGTGGAGTCCCTGAGAACAAGCACAACACACGCCAGATGAAAACGACGAGAGCGGCGGCTCATCTCGCAGACCGAAACTGCAGCGATCCACCCACGAACCTCAACTCGAGGAGCGTCGCTAGGAGCGGCGCGGCGGCGGAGACGGCCTCCCCATCCAGATCAACCTTCTTCGGCGTAACCCGCGGCACGGCCTGATCCCACATCCATCACACACAGATTCGATCAGGCGATCCGATCCATCCAACCCTAGAACTCGATTGAGGAACGGGAGAAACAAAACAAAGCAGGAAGCGGGTCGAGTCGGTTACCCTGGCGCGGCCGTTGGGGGACTGTGACGGCGACCGCTTGCGGCGGCGCCGGCGCTCCTTGGCCCCCCCGAAGCAGCCAAGGAAGCAGCCCATCGTGAACCGCGGGTGACGGCGTGAGGCAGCAGAGAGCGAGTGGGAGGGGATCGCGGGGCAGTGGTGACTAGTGATGAGGAGGCGGCATTTGGGGGAGCGGGAAGGGGAGGAAAACAAGTGGTGGGGTGGGGATGAAGCCGTTGGGGGAAAAAGGAGAAGCGCCTCGACGGGTAACGGTCAAGTTGACCCAGCTGGCAAGTGACCGTTGGACGAACGGAACCCGTGTGAGAGAGGCTCCCACTGTCCCGCCAGAAAGGAATCCGAGGGCCACCAAGAATGCGGGCTAGGCTTACTCAAAAGAAAAAAAGAATGCGGTCTGGACCAACATGGGCCGACTCTATGTGGCCCGTGGTCATGCGTGGACCACTAAACAACCGCTCAACAGGGCTGGATCGACCATCCGTCTAGCAACAGTGTCTACTTGTTCGGTCTAGCAACAAGAATGCGTGGACCAACATGGGCCGCAAGTGCAAAAGTTGCTTTTACTATCTTTATTACGGTCCCACCACATCTCAAAATAAATAAAGTACAGGCACAGCGGCATAAATTTAGATGCAAAAATGAAATTCGGCAGATCATTTTGTTAATACAGACATACAGTGTTTAAAAGCAATCTGGACACTAACGCCTGCATTAAGTAGAACAAAAGATGATGGTAGCAAGGATTAAAAAGGTACATACCATGTTAATACGTCAAATAGTATAGACAAAATCGATCTGAATCATGCATAGGAATTAGTAGTGTTCGATTCTAATAGCATTTGCATTATCACATGAATCATTACTCTGCCAAAAACTCAGGATGCTGTTGGTATCCAAGATTAAACCAAAGAAAGGCATTCTTTCTCGCCTTCTTTAATCCTGTCTACCTACTGTATCCAGTGATCATTCCTATGTCTTTGATGTAACTCCCAGTTTAAATATCCACCCGCTGCTTATCACCAGTTTGGCAATCATTCCAAAATGCGCTCCCTTGCGTCCAAAGGACAGCCCGAGTCTGTTGGAATGAACTTATGTATGCAGGATTTTTACTGTACTGTTAGGACCAAGCCGAAGACAGGAATACTGAGATACAGCTCTTTATACACATGATTGAATCCACCTGTGCAAGATGTATTTACATGATTGAGCATATGCATGTATCCAAATATTCATCATCTGAGTCGCTTGAGTCACTGCAAATTATGGAAAAGATAAAAGCATATTTAGAGGAAGATATTAAAATAATTTGTTCAGAGTAGTAAGCTTCAAACTTCACCATAAATAAGATCAGCACGACAATTTAAGTATAGCATGGAGGCTTTTCAAGCAGTAGCAATTGGAAAATATATCTGATTTTTTACAAAGATAATCAACTTGAAGGCTTAATGACATCACGCTCACGCCCTACCCCTAAGAACTTTTTTCTCAATTAAAACAATATTCATAATACCTAATGTGGTTTTTAGTATAAATTGAATAATATTAATACACAACGGAGGGAAATTATAAGTTTTAGGAAACTATAATATCCTCAGTTGGAAAACATATTTGTTGAGAAAAGTGCAAAGTTGGAAGATAACAGAGGGAAATTAATACTTTTTGCAAAAAGGTAACTACAATATGCTCAGTTTGAAAATATAAAAGTGCAACGAGCCCCAACAGAGATCATTGTTGATTGCATTACATCATGACTAATTAATAATAACAAAGAATTCAATGAATCTCAAAATCTACTAAGAGAATAAAAGACTCCGCTAGTGTTAAAAAAACAAGGCTGTTAGCTGGTTCCCAAGAATTAAAAAGTGCAACAAATGCGATGTAGTAAAAACAGAACATGCACGGTAACAAGGACAAACTGCAATAGAACAGGACCTGAGGAAATGATACTCACCTAATTATTGCCCTACAAAGCTACAAGCCTACAGCTGCATAGATAATAACACTAGAAAAAATGTTCTGTTGGTTACGGTTAGCATGCATGTTCATAGCACCAAACCTCTAAGATTATTCATAGCATCAAAGCTTTGGTCAAGCCAACAAACAAATCCTCAAGTAGCATGACATTGTCGCAAACAAGCTGATAGTTCAATGGGTAGGTGACTGGTTGCAGCACCCACCCACCCGCGTTCAAGCACAGCTCGACGCAGATGTTGTACTGGGCTTGCCCAAGTAAATCCTGTCTCTTATGCATGGAGCCACAAAGGGGCTGCGATGTGCCTTGCAGAGTCTTGGATGGTTCTGTCAATCACACCAGGGACGCAATTGCCTGACTTATGTGTAGTCTGTAGGTCTTGGATGTGTGCGTGGAGGCGAGGGTAAGCGGGTGTGCATGTGTGAGGTCTAGGTTTGTGTACGCACATGTGTTCAGAACTTCAGACACTACATCAGTACCGACATGAGGCATAAAACAAAGTAGCATGAGGTTGGCATGTTATATTCATATCTTACCAAATTCTACTCATTTCACCTTTGGATATAAGACTGTGGCCCATTGCAGAGCAGTTGAAATTTAATGGGTTCCTATGTGGATCAAATAGGAACATCAAAATAGAGGGTTATATTGACTCACTATCACATGAAGTGCAGTTTCATCTCAACTGCGCTCTCGACGAGTTACTGGTCTGGTCCAAACAATTTGGTGTCTCGGATAAATAAAGCTAATTGGAGACTAGTGATAAAGTACCATGAGCAGTCTCCACAGAAATTCTTCCAAGTAAGTGGAAAATGAACTTTTGGTTATAGCGTGGTCAAACCCACTGAAGATTTTCCCCATGTAATCAGATTCCTTTGCTCCACTGGGTCAGCTAAACAGATTGGGAATCAGAATGGGTGGCCATGTGATCGTATCTAGTTCCAGCTGGCTGTTAGACATACTAAGACAGAATTTTTCTCACCATTTCATTAGTGCAAAATAAAGCTTCAGATCCCATGAAAAGCGCTAGGCATGGGCATAAAAAGCATTAAACATGTCCACTCCGAAAAATGAATAGAAACAAAGTTTTCAGGTGCAGCAGAGGTTGTGTAATCTACATGCATGTGACCAGATTTAACTGTCAACTTGGCCAGTTGACTTCATATGTATAAAATGATGAAAATAAGATATTGAGCATTAACTGTCTTAGATCTCTTTTCCTTTGAAGAACTAATTATCTTAACCCCTAAGTACTGGAAGTTCATTTATTAGTTGATAAAAGAGTACGAATTCAACAATCTATTGTTAATTGACATGTGCAGCTCCTCAAGAATGATTAACAAAGGTTCAGAAAATCACAAAGTTCAGTTCATCTAGACTGCCTATACTAAATAAAGTGATTGACACCATTGAATTCGACTGCTCATCATCTCTGACTAGAAAGCCAGAAATAGCACAGTGTTCAGATCATAACACTTGAGTCATTTAATCATTAAAGCACATTTTGCAAAAAATGTTTACTGATGAACACCAACACATAAACTGAACTTCAGAATAAACCAATGATCACCTTTTGTGCTTGTATTGCAGCAGAATAGTATATCGAAAGCAAACAGGGAAAAACATGCAAACCAGACTCATTAGAAACACAGTAGAGTTCGACATTTACTCTCCCTTCCTCTCCCAGCAATTAACAGCAGAGACCATGCCTTTAGACCTGAGTAACAAACTCTGCCTAAACTTTAGTAGGCAAGAAATTCACATTTAGAGCGTGTTCGGTGTCTTGATAACGACAAAACTTTTCAGTTTTTATTCAGGTCTCCAAGCTACTTCAGAAAAAGGTAACCGCAAGTATTGAACCAACTTACTTGAATTAAATGATTGAAAGCTCCCAAGCCCAATCATTCCGTTAGCCTTGCTGAGAATGGAAGGTTACGACATCCCCAACAAAACACATTTTCTAACGTCATACCCTGCCAGACAAGATGTTGCCCAATAACTGAAACCAAAGTTGAAGCTGCAGCTCCAGACAAATAATCGGATCACCATTCTTCCCATTTCCCGCTATAGACATATAGTCTTAACAAATGTTACCGAGGGACACTTATAGCTATCCAGATAACTCCATTTGTGCAAATTCATGCAACCTCACCAAAGAGCAAAAATCACACAGAACTCATCTAATTCAATAGTATAATTTGGTGTCAAAAGAATTTTGCTATCAGGTAGCATCAATCAATCATTAACAATTGCGCCAACGCATTGCGAAAGGACACATAAAATGTGAGTGGGGATGACTGTTTTCGACCTACCTAGGCTGGAACTCCCTGACATCGGTGAGCTTGCTGCCATGCCTATCTTTCCACTGCACACGGCGTTTGGGCCCCTTGCGGCCCTTCCGCGCCATGCCCCCAGACGGCTGCTGCGGCAGCAGCGCCTTGCGCTCGCCGGCAGCGTCGTTGTCCTTGGAGCCGATGCCGCCGGAGGACGCAGACCGTGAGACCGCCGTCGGAGAGGAAGGGGGCGGGTTCTTACCGCTGCCGTTGCACGGCGAGGACCTAAGGATGCGGCGATCCATCGTCGGGTGGCATCAACTCCCCGCCGCGCGAGCTTGATTCATTCGATTCGCTTTCTGCGGCCCGCGTTCGGAGCTCCTCAAATTGGCAGCTCGGGGTCGATGGGAATACAGCAGGGTGAAAAACTGAGCCGGATCTCGAGGTCGGGACTGATCGCGAATTCGAAAAAGGCCCAATCCAGATTTCAGAAAGGGAGAAACAACGAACAACAATCAATCCAAAATAAAGGGGAAGAAATATCCACAAAGCTGGACGTTCAAGCGAAAATTAACGGGGAATCGAATCTAACCACACGGTTGGCGATAAGCTCGGAGGAGAGTAAGCTAACCGAATTCGCCGCAGAATCGGAGGTGGAGAAGGGGATTTGTGGACCGAAGGGGGCGAATTTGGAGCCGAGACGATGCAAGGTTGCGGGAATTTTGAGACGATGGATTGGGTTGGGTTGGAGGATTTGTGGGGGAGGAATCGCGGGAGAGCGAATCAGGCGAACCCGTATAGGCAGAGGCACGCAGGTCGACGCAGGTTGGGGCCTTGCCTTGGCCCTTTCCCTTGCTCGTTCGCCGCTCTAGTGGATATCACATGTCCTACGTTTTTTTTGGCCACGTAGTTTTTTACAATGTACAGATAGAGAAATCTAATTAACAAGGTGAAAATAAGAAATTTAGAGTTCAATCCAAATCTTAAGTAAAATGACTCGTGTTAAATTCAATCTAATTGCTTTTTAAGTCCAAATCCATTCAAAATGGTCAAATAATAAAATTAATGCAGCTACATGCCAAAAGTTTGACTCTACAATTAACTAAAATCTTGTGTTCATAATTTAAATTTTAGTTAAATTAGGGTGAGATGAAGTACTTGAAACTTGTTATTAAGGAGACATTGAGGTAGTAGGATTAGAGATGGCAACGGTGAATTCCCCGTTGGGGGATGCCTTCCCATCCTTGTCCGCGCAGGGGAGAAAATTCTTTGTTCCCGTCCCGGTCAACACTCACGGGGAAAGGTTTCGCCCCATCTCCATCCCGCACGGCGAATTTGTCCTCGACAGGTCCCGTCCCCGCAAACATAGATGAAGACCACAGCCAGAGAGAACACATTTGCATCAAGGGGGCATCATCAAATTACATTAATCAGGCAAACATTATCTCGAGTTGTTTTCAATACAACAGCCATGCATAAGAAATTAAGAATGACAACGCTGCTCTCGCACCTCACATCATCTGATGTCGTCTAGGACGACACAACGTTGCCTCCGGCAACGAAGGCTGTTGTTGCCAGTTTGCCACCGTCGAACCTATCGACGCTAGCCTCTAATTCCCCCAACCCACTTGCATCACATTGTCCTTTTACCTCATCACATCAAACGAAGTCCATCGTGATGTGCTGATTTACAAGGCAATGATCAAGATGCATGGTGATTTGCATGTTTCCTATATCTTTGTTTGGAACAACTATGCCCCACCAAAAGTCCAATTCTCTGGGGTAATGAAACAACTTGAAGCTAAAACAGATCATTCACGACGATGTCTTGTTAGAAAACTTAGGGTTAACAGGATCTTACTTAGTCTAATACAAGAACACCTAATCTATGATTATTAATTAATGAACTTAATTAGACATTGACCTTAACTGAAGATGTCGTTGAAGTCCACATGTGTTGGTATTTATTAAGTGCAAATAGAATATGAAGGATTCCGCAAGTGCACATAATACCATTTTAGCATTTTATAAGGAGTATTCCAGGTATCGTTATTTATATTTTACCATAGGGAAATAATTGATTAAATATTTATTGGATAACAAAGGAATGTCTACTAATCAACATACCAGTATAGATAAAGCAGAGGTGAATATAATGATAGGAATAAAACATAATGACACTTAAGGGATAAATCACTAAGATAATGTAAACTAGTCAACTCGGAGAGAACAACGGGTGAGGTAGATTCCTATGATATTTCTATTACATGGTCAAAGTATATATACATCCGACTATAGCTAAGACTAACTCTACTCTTGTGCACTTTGGGACGCCACTTAGATGGTAGAGCATCCACAATAAATAACTCTACTGACGCGACTACGGTCCTATAATTTAAGAACCTGCTCAATTCGGAGTGGACTACAAAGGATAGACGGGACTGTCACCTCCCACTACTGTCACCCAACCAGAGAACAGGGTGCACTCACAGGTAGAGCATCGTATAAACACCATGCTTACATGAGACTCGGCTACTTAGCCTAACCGGTAAACTAGCAGGCTAAGCGCTCTATGAAACCGCACATAAAAGTAATGATAACCATAACTAAGCAAGATATATATTCAAAGTAAGCATAGTATTGATGGTAGTTAACATTTATCATAAACCATCAATATAACTTGTATAAATGGCTAAAATAGATCACCATTGCAGACTTAGGGGTTTAAACTGACAAATTCTATAAGTTTTGGTGAATCTGTGTTTCCAGCAAGATTTAATCAGAAACCCGACAAGGAGGACATATTCGTCAAAGGAAATTACGAAATTTCACAGCGTAATTGACGTGGGAAGACTCTAGAAGACTCCAGAAGGTGAATCACTGAAGCAGAGCTTGTGTCCCTAACATGTGGGTCGGTCGGCCCCACCTAGAGGCCGCCTGACCTGTGGGCCCCTATGTCAGCCTCCCGTTGCTATGTTTGCATCTCCGCCGTTTATTAAGTTAGTTTGATCCGAGGGCTCAGAATCGACGCTCCGGCCTATATATATCTACCTACACCCCCTCTAGGGGAGAAGCCTCATTTGATCCTGAGAGCTGAGAAGCCAGAAACCCTAATTCATATGTCCACCAGGATTAAGGCTAGCAATCAAGAGAAGATTAGTCATCAATAGGATCTAGTCTTGTATTAGAGATAGTAAGAGAGTGAGAGAGAAGAGTTTTGGAGGAGTCCTGGTCTATTGGTGCTCTCTCTATGGCTTGTACCCTCTTGGAATCAAGTTCTTTTTGAGTTTCCTTCTGAGATTTCTCTAGTAATCAACTTCTAATTCAAGTAAGCATCTTGTTCATATTGTTCTTCAGGTTTGTGACTTTCTTTTAAGTACTTTAATCCTTGTAGTTCCTAGGTTAAAGTAGTATTTGTAGTGTAAGCGTGGTGCTTAGACTCGATTACTAGTGAATGTACCCTATTTTCTGGATCGGTGGTAGCTCACGAGGGTGACTCTTATAGCCTCGTTGAATCATTTGTAGTCCACCTCCTGTTAGTAGGCCTAGTAGGACTTTGTTGCTATAGAAAACATACTCTGCCTGTGTTTTCTCTAGTAATATCCCCAGAATTGAACAATAGAAGACAAAGCTTACCGAAGTTAGAACTAGAAGACCTTAGTAGTCTCCTCTACGCTCCTATTATCTAGTCTTGATTGTGAAGTTGGGTTAAGTTAGATTTGGTTATTTTCACACATGTTTCCTCGAGTTCGATATAAAACTGGTACTCCTGGTAAAGTGCTATATCGGTATAATATTCGTGCACTTGCGGATTATTCTGTCTGCATTAATTTATACCAACAGACGTTTCTAGCGCCGTTGTTAGGAAAATAATTACTGAGTTAACTTCGAACCTAGCTTATCCTTGTATCATTATTCTTTTTTTCTTTTTACCATGGATCTTGAATCCACCCCTATCTACCAATATGATGCACCCACGAGTGTAGCCAAAAGTGTCTTCAAAGCCTATCCTAACACCTAGCTATGAGTTGCACCCGCGTTTAATCAACATGGTTTAGGATCAACCCTTGTTGGGCGAATATGATGAAAACCCCTATTTCCACCTAAATGAGTTTGGGCAGACCTGTGCATGCTTGCGTATTGCAGGCATGTCAGATGAAACCTTACGATGGAAGCTTTTTCCTTTCTTTTTGATGGGAAAAGCTAAACGTTGGTATAATCTTACCATAGGGAGTAGACAAGGAGATTGGGAAGCCCTATGCTCTAGTTTCTGCTTGCAATTCTTTCCCATCTCTAGGGTAGTCAGACTTTATTCAGAGGTTCTATCTTTTAATAAAAGAAAAAAGAATCTCTAGGACTGGCTTGGGAACACTTTAATACTCTTATTAATACTGGCCCTGACCTTGGCATTCAAGACCTCATTCTTCAACACTTCTATATGAGTCTTGATAGGAAAACCTCGAAGCTTCTTAATACGGCCTCAGGAGGCTCGTTCTTGCATGTCTCCACCAATGCGGGGAGAAGCATTGTTATGAAAATCTTAGAGAACATTCCCAAAGAAGTAGAAGAGAAGCTATTAGAGGAAGAATCCCAGATAGCTAAACCCGAATCTTTACCAGACCCATCATCAACTTTAGCTATCCTAAATCCTGAACCACCAAAAAAGGAGGAAACTCCAATTTCGGACTTCATGCTTGAATTTGAGTATGAACTTTTTGATGAATATGGAAATACCTCGAATTACCATACTATGAGGAGACCCCAGAAGTCTAGAAAATCATCATCCAATGAAGAACTATTAGACCCTTCTGAGGAAGCTTTCCTTAAAAAGACTACGATAGAGCTAGTGTCTATTATAAGTAATGAATGGTTAGAAGAATCAGAGCTTTCCTCTGATGTGATCCGTTTAGATTCACCTTCTATATCCATTTGTTGCCAAATTAATAAAGCTCCTTTCGATGCTCTTTATAATCTAGTTGTGGGTGTTAATATCATGTCTGCATCTTTTGCTCATGATTTATTAAAACGCATGCCATTAACCCCAACAACAAAGTTGTTGAAAAGTCTTTTAGGACACATTCTCCTAAGTTTAGAAATTTTATATGTTCTCCCTATCCAGGTAAAAGGAACCAAGTTCATTTAAGCTTATATATCTTTGATATTATAGAGTTTGACCTGTTGATAGGACAACCAATTAAAAGACTTATCCAAAAAGGACAAACAGGGAAGTTAAATATAAGACTCAGAAAAAACTTTAAGTTTTCTATACCCATTACTCATTCTCTAGATGCTGAGAGTGAGCCAA